ATATGAGGTAATATGAGGTTGTGTGAAAAACAACTTTTGTAATGTTGAGCATAGTGTTCACTATTTATGAAAACTTAATACAACAACAGTGGGGGACTTCAATACCCCCCTTACAGCAATGGATAAATCATCCTGGCAAAAAAATTAACAAGGAAAGCCTACATTACAACCATATATTAAACCAAATGGACCTAACATAAATATGTCATCCAATACCACCAAAATACAACTCTTCCCAAGTGCGTGCACACAGAATATTCTCCAGGATAAATCATCTGATAGGCCACAAAACAAATCTTAGCAAATTTAAGAAGACTGAACTTATACCAAGTATCTTTTGCAATAATGACAGCATGAAACTAAAAATCAGTAATACGAGAAAAGTAGGAAAATTCATGTATTTGGAGATTAAACAATATGTTAAACAACCAATTGGTCAAAGAGGAAATCAAAATGGACACCAAGAATTATCTTGCAACAAATGAAAATACAAGCACAATATATCAAAACCTGTGGAATAATGCAAAATAAGGTTTAAGAAGGAACTTTATAGCAATAAAAGTTTATGTTAAGAAACAAGAAAAAACTCCAATAAACAACCTCACTTTACACTAGAAACTAGTCTAGACAAACTAAGACCAAAGTTGGCAGAAGGAACAAAACAACAAAGATGAGAGCAGAAATCAATAAAATAAGATCAGAAAAACAATAGAAAAAAATCAACACAACTAAGAGCTGGTTTTTTCAAAAGATAAACAAATCAGACAAACCGTAAGCTGGACAAAATAAAAAAAAAAATTAAAGACTCAAATAAAAACAAATGAAAGAGGAGGCATTAAAACTGATACCACACAAATACATAGGCTCATCAAGAGACTACTAAGAACAAGTGCATGAAAACAAACTGGATAATCAAGAAGAAATGGATAAATAACTAGAATATAAAATCTACCAAGACTATGTCAGGAAGAAAAAGAAAATCTGAACAAACCAATGAGTGAGGAGACTAATTAGTAATCAGAAACCTCCCCACACAGGAGGGGCTCAATAGGGTGGCGTGAGTAGGATGGCGGAAATCTCCTACCAAAATCATATATATTTTTGAAAATACAACAAATGAAACTATTCCTACAAGAGAGACCAGAGGATATAGTACAATAGCCTGGCTACAGCTACATCCACAATAACTCAACGTCTCAGAAAAGGGGGTAAGATACAAAGCCGTGACCTGGCGGGACCGTGCACTCCCCCCACCCCAGCTCACAGGCAGGAGGATAGGAGTCAAAGTGGGGAGGGAGTGAAAGCACAGGACTACTAAATAACCAGCCCTAGTAATCTACACTGGGAGCACAGACACACATTGAATGGTGTGCTGGATATTAGAGAAATGGAAGGGTAGGGTCCAAAACTGAGACTGCTAGCAGGTCCTCAAAGCCACCTCCCCTGGGACAAGAGAAAACCAGGCACTTTTTAAAAGATTAAAGGGACAAGGACTCAAAAGCTGAACAAAATAGTGCCAACACACAGCCCAGCAGCCTGGAAATCTTGAGGAACCTTGGGCCCTCTAGCCCCCTGGGAGGTAAAGCAGCCCTGAAGCCCCTCATGGCAATAAGCAGCCTGCCATTCATTCTCCCTGGATGGCACTGCAAGCCAACCGGCTGACCAGCCATAGCTGCACAGCAGCCGGAGAGCGGCCCGCCCAAAAAAACCACACAGAGTCTCCTCCCACTGCACAGCTAACTGGGACAGGCAGTGGAAGCAGGAGTGAGGTCCAGAAGGCCCGAAGGGATGCTGTTCTCGCAGGAGAACACATCTGGCCTGGCTGTGACCCCCTGCAGTGCTTTAGGCTACCCTGAGGGTGGCCCACCCACGGAAGCTCTGGAGATTATCCCAGAGACTGCTCCCTGGTATGCGGGTAACAGGCACAGGCAGCGGAAGCTGGAACGAGGTTCAAAAGGCACAAAGGGGCGCCATTCTCACAGGAGAACACACCTGGCACAGCAGCGACCCCCTGCAGTGATCTATGCTACCACAAAGGCGGCCCCACCCATACCAGCTCAGGAGATTGTCGCAGACACTGATTCCCAGTTTGTGGGTAACCACACAGGCAGAAGAAGCCGGAGCAAGGTCCAGAAGGCATGAAGGGTGCCTATCTCACAGGAGAACACACCAGGTGTGGCTGCAACACCAC